GGACACAACAGAGAAAATATTACCATCCACTGATTCTAGAACAGCCTTGAAGAAAGCAGTCAGTCTCCTTGTCGATGACAGCACCAAGCAAGCGTCAGTTTCTTTCGAGAATGCCACTGTGACATCCACTCACTTGGCAATATCAACAAGACCTCGTATAGTTCAAAATTTTACGCTCATTTGGATGGACTCGAACATCAACGAGTTCGACTTAGATATTAAATACTCACTTATTCAACTGCGACGAATTGTCAATACAATTGATATATTTACCGGCGTCGAGCAATGCATTGATTATATGAACAACGTCAAAGACGAAAAGGTATTTATAATTGTGTCCGGTGTTCTTGGTCAAGCAACAGTACCCAACATTCATGACATGGCTCACCTCGATTCTATCTATGTGTTTTGTGACAATAAATCAAATCATGAACAGTGGGCCAATCAGTGGTCAAAAGTAAAAGGTGTGTTTACTCAGATCGATTCACTTTGTGATTCACTTCAACGAGATACGCAACAATGTGATCGGGATTCTATTTCTATCACTGTCACTAATGGAGATTTGAACAGACTTGATTCGTCGTTTATGTATACGCAGCTGCTTAAAGAGACGCTTCTCGACATGGAATATGATAATAAAGCAAAGAAAGAACTTGTTGAATTTTGTCGAGAACAATATCACGATAATCCGCATGAATTGCAAATTATTAATGAGTTTGAGCAAGACTATCACGTACATACACCAATCTGGTGGTACACTCGCGAGTGCTTCACCTATCAGATGCTCAATCGAGCTCTTCGGATACAAGACGTTGAAATTATTATCAAAATGGGATTTTTCTTACGTGATGTTCATCAGCATATCAAACAACTATATATGCAAATGGAACAACACGATGTCTTCACTGTCTATCGAGGTAATGGTATGTCCAATGTTGATTTTGACGAAATCAGAAAAAAACAAGGTGGTCTGATGGCCTTTAACACCTTTCTATCTACAAGTCTCAATGAAAACATCTCACTTGAATTTGCTCAAAAATCGTTACACAAACTCGAATCAGTAGGAGTTCTGTTCCAAATTACTGTCGCCCCATCGATTTCATCAGCTCCATTTGCCTCAGTGGTGTCAGTTAGTGCTATCCCAAATGAGGAAGAAATTTTATTTTCCATGCACACCATTTTTCGGATCGGCCAAATCAAACAAATTGAAGGTCGATTATGGCGGGTAGAACTTGCATTGACGAGTGATGATGATGAAGAGCTTAAACGACTCACGGACCACATGCGAACAGAAACTCGAGAGCTATCAGGATGGGACCGATTAGGTGAAGTTTTGATCCAAATGGGAAATGTTGATAAAGCCGAAGAAGTCTATCAGATAATTCTCAAAGAAACATCGGGCGACGATGAAAAGAAACTTGGCCATCTTTATCATCAACTCGGATGGATAAAATACTACAAAGGAGCTTATGAAGAAGCACTCGAAAGTTATCATAAAGCGGTTGAAACCTACCAAAAATCTCTTTCACCAAATCATTTGGCTTTGGCTACTACCTATAACAACATCGGTTTGGTGCATTACAACAAAGAAAATCACTGGAATGCCCTCGAGTTTTATGAAGAGGCGCTTGAAATTCAACGAAAATATCTATCTTCAAATCATCCAGCTTTGGCTACTACTTACAACAATATCGGTTTGGTGTATGACAGCATGATAAGGTATATGAAAGCACTCGAGTTCTATCAAAAAGCGCTTGATATTCGGGAAAAATCTCTCCCTCCAAATCATCCAGATTTGGCTATCTCTTACAACAACATAGGTTTAGTGTGTGATAACTTAGGCGACTACTCGAAAGCGCTCGATTTCTATCAAAAGACACTTGAAATATATCAGAAATCTCTTCCTCCAATTCATTCATATATAGCTAATATCAACAACAACATCGGTCAAGTGTATTATAACATGGAAATGTACCCAGAAGCACTCTCGTTCTCTGAACGAGCTGTGCAAATTGGACAACAGTCACTACCCGAATTTCATCCTCAACTTCAATTGTGGCGACAAAACCTCGATGAAATACGAAAATTGTAATTCAAGGCGGTTTTTATGAATAAAACAGAATGTCGCGCATGCAAGTACGTACACATAGACTTTGCTTGGTGGGACGCTATTGATCAACGTTTGTAAGACAATAAACGTTGATATATCTGTGCATCAAGAGCTTTCCTTCATTTTCCTACAAATAAACCTTGGTGTGAGTGTGGATGCTTGTGCTTCTTTACTACCCATCAACACCCACCACCAACATCCACATGTACGTGCACACTCACACCCTCTTGTTCGAACCAGTAGGTACACTCAAATCGTCATGTAAATTCTCTCAAATCAATCTTGTCTTTATCAAGTTTTAATTGTCAACTATAATCTCATTCATATTATTTATTACAATTTTCAGAAATGAACATTTTTTATTAGGAAATTTTTGTCATATAGAAGAGGGTTGGACATTGAATTGATCGGTGACATAAATGCTTACTTCCAGCGGAAAAATGTCGCTCCAGTCAAAAATGGTCAGCCATAAAATACTTCCACACGTATACAGATACAATTTCAGCGGAAAAACGCAACGTCATAGGAATAATGAAGATTTCCATAGAAACAGTGAAAAGGAAAAATGACAAAATGATATCTTCCATGAGAAATGTGTTACAAATGCGCATAGCTCTATAGATTCTACTGTAGCCGAAAAATGAGAATGTGGATGTGGGTGTGGGTAGGGTGTGGGTGGGGTATGGGTGGGGTGTGGGTGTGGGCGTGGGTGTGGGTGTGCGTGTGGATGTGGGTGTCAGAGGGGTGTGGGCATGGGTGTTGATCAAGAAAAGACTAACACGCATACACGCACACGCACACCCACAAACCCACACCCACACCCACACCCCACACCCCACACCCATATCCACACCCACACCCTCACCCGCACCCACACCCCACACCTACACCCACACCTCACACCCACACCCACACCCACACCCCACACCCACACCCACACCTATACATTACACCACCCTGGCGGTAGTTTAAACTTTTTGAAATCAATTTTTGATTTTTATCCAAAGCTAACGGGTGGGGCAAATGTTTTGCATTAGTTTTGTTTTTGATATAGCTCTGGGACACAATGCCGTAGAGACTTCAGCTTTTTTTGTTAGAAAGAGCAAAGTGTCTAGTGAAAAAATATATGAAAGAATTTGATTGGAAATGCTTTTCTAAGACCACAGCAATCTTAGAACAGAAGGCGCCAGAAAACTGTTCCGCAACATTTTTGAACTTAGAAAAAATTTCCTATAATTAGACAGGTTCTCTTTTTTATTCGTCTAATCCAAGTTTTATAATGTAAGAGTAGAGCACTATTACTTTGCAAAAAAAGAAATTTTATACATGTTTTATAACAGAAGAAATGAAGGCTTTTATGATATCGTCTGAGTCACCGACTTTTCATCACTGTTGATAGCAGTCGAAAAAATAAACTCTATTTCGCAAGAGAGGTTGCCAGAAGCTATATATTTTATATGAAAAAGAGAGCTTATTGAGTCCTCTATCAAATGATATTATTTGGAATAGGACATCACTTCTCTGTGAGATATTCAGACAAGAACTTGTTTTCGCGCTGCAAAACCAAATTCGAATAATTAATTTTTTTAATCAAATTGTCTTTTGTTCATTCTCTTGTATGCTATATCAATTATTTTAATACCAAATGAAAGCCTTCGTTGTACTGAACAACTGTATATATATGGTGTTCAAAAGCGTCGAAAGTGGGTAATGAAAAAGCTCAAACAAATATTTTTGGATAAAAAAAAATTGACCAAAGTTGTGGAAGAGTTTTTCCAAACTTTGTGTTCTAAGATTATTGTAGCCTTCGAAAAACATTTCCAATCAAATTCTTTATATATTTTTGTACTTGACACTTTGCTCTTTCTAGCAAAAGAACAATCAAGTCTCTACAACATTCCATCAGTGAGTTATATCAAAAACAAAATAAATGCAAAACTTTTGCCCCACCCGTTATATATACAGTTTTGTTCAGAATTAAATTTTCTATTTAATGGTATATAAATCCGGCACTGAATCATGCGAAAGCTCTTTGAAAAACTAATAATTCTCTCTCCCAATATTGAGAAAATAGCCAAAATGGATATACCTAGTTGGATATCAAAGTAAGGCCGATCGAGCTGAAACTTTCAGAGGTGACTACTAACTCTGAGCTCGTCAATTGCTGAAAGTTTCACACCAAACTGCTCGTGTTTTCTAATTGGGCCAATTTGACTCCAAAACGTCCCCCGTCCTATTGTAAAAATTTAAGAGAGATTTTCATTAGAGTAATATTGGTGTTCAATAGTATTTTTATATTATATACATTAATTCTTTGGTTGCGGATTTTTTTTGAAAAAATGAAAATTTCTCTTTTGCTTTATACTTGATCATAAATTAATCTATATTTCTAGTTTTTAAATATTTTTATAAATACGCGTGTTTAAAAGATTTTCAAAGTGTAATACAGTTCAAGACAATTTACAACATATAAAGCACCATTTCATTGAAGACACTCAAGAATTTATATGTATAATACCACCTAACATGTTGCTGTAGATAGAAACGTTTCTTATGAGAATTTTAGATTTTATTAAAGTTTTCTGTAGAAGTCATTTGTGTTATATTTGTTATGCATTACTGAATGGCAGAGTAAAAAAATTTCGAACTCAAATTACGGCAAAATACCGTCGAATATAATTAGGTGCTGAGATCCTGCATTTATCCTTTGGATAAATAAGTGTTGATGTCAACTATCAAAATATCCATGCGAGTTGATTTCAATTAGTATAACCAATTTTGAGAGGAGGAAAAAGGAGAAACTGAGAAAAAGTAAATTATGAGCAATTCAAAAATTGATAATCAAATAGATGGGACAACTTCTTTTATTTCAAAAAAGTCTAAAAATTGCCTATGAACCAAACATAAGTAAAAATTCAATAAATTGCAAAACACCTTTTGGGAAAATTTGTTGATTTTCATCTTTAATAATAATTTGTTCATTTTCAAGAACTTCCATTGGACTTTTTAAACGAGCTATAATTTCTTTCCAAATTAATTCTGTTTTAACTTGTACAATCATATGAATATTTTTTTGAATCAATATTTTCAGGCCAATAAAATTTGACATCAACTATTCCATTTCTAATATGAATACTGAATTTGTCATTTGTATTATTAAAATGAAATAAAATAAAATGATTTATTCCTTCAGCATTTTTATAATTAAAATTAACCGACATGAATATAAAACAATATTTTAATGATGATTGAAAAATAGTTTCAATAATTTGTGATTGAGATGGTTTTATTTGAATTAATCCTTGAATTTCTAATGATATCATTAAATACCAATTTCTTCCATTTGCTGATATTTCACGGGGAGCTAATTTTTGTAATGTTAAACATTGTAATTGATTTATTTGTGAAATACTTAGGGTTATCCAAAAGTTCTGGCGTCATTATCTTATTTTCTTATAGAAAGCTTAAAAAAATTTTGCTTTTTTTATGAACAGATAGAACGTCTTTCGTTCTATTTTTCTATGCTATTTGATCATTATTCAACTAATATCATAATAATAAAATTTCGATAAGAACTGTTTTTGTTGAAAGCTAGCTGGTGGTATATTAGATCATAACGGGTGTGGCATAAAAAATGGGGCACTTTTGTATTTCATTTTATCATCACTTAATATGTTGTATTAAAAAGCAAAATATACCACAAGATGCAGCGTGAAAAGCTCTACAAATTACATAAGATCACTTATTTTATAGTTGCACTTTTTGTTTTCAAAATGGACAAAACTCTGAGCGTGCAAATTTCGACGCTGCGCAAAAAAAAAATTTGTTTTGATAAAAGACGACTTCATTTTTTCCTATCTCATCTTTTTATAATTGTTCTTTGTAAGTTATAGAGCTTTTCATGCTGCATCTTGTAGTGTATTTTATTTTTTTAATACAACGTATTAAGTGATAATAAAGTGAAATGCAAAAGTGTCCGACCCGTTAACATCTAATGCCACCAGCTAGTTTTCAATAAAAACAGTTCTTATCGAAATTTTATTATTATGATATTAGCTGAATAATGATCAAATAGCATAGAAACATAGACCAAAAGACGTTCTATCTATTTATAAAAAAATTTTTTTTTCAAACTTTCTATAAGAAAAAAAAAAAGATAACGACGACAGAACTTTTGAATTGTCCTAAGTAGTTTGACAGTAAAACATATACTTGATAGCTTAGAACGATTAATTTGTATCTCTGTTTCAATGTTTTAAACAATTGATAATACTATATTCAATCATAAAACTTGACATATGTCTGTTGTCGTCTAAGAGTTTTATTTATTCCACAGCTATATCAGGTATCCGCTAGTCAATTCGTCCCTCTATAGTATGTATAACACTATGTATCTACGTGAATTATTTTATTGACAAGCAAAAAATTATATTTTATTTAAAAACTTCTCGTTCTAGTCTATGAGTTGTTAGTATGGCGAAAAAATAATTCATTGTAACGGAGAATTTCCATTTTTATTTTCATTAATAATATATGTCCATGATTTCGATTATGTTCGAGTTTGTATAACTGTATAGAGCATATAGCATGATATTGACATTGCATTATAATGATTAATTTTATGATAAGATGGAAAGGTTATGCTGTCGATATTGTAATGATATATTTCCATATAAATGATCAATATTCGAATTATATATGAAAGTAAAGACAATTCTTATTCATAGAACTCATCATTCGTCTAAAGAAACCTGTAAAATTAACTAGTTTTATGCATATTACGCACTCATTTATGTAAAGCATGTACTGGATTTCTAAGCGACAAATAGACAGTGCCAAATTAATTTAAGTGAATTTGTTTTCTAAGAGCATATCACATGAATATAATCAATTAATAAATTATATTTCGTTATATTATTTGATAAAGGGCATCGAGTTAACAAACATCAGAAAACATTATTTTTATAGAATGTTCGTCGTGTGTTCCTCTGATACCGAATATTATTACGTATGAGTTAACAATTTGTAATTTTTTGAAAAACCAGCAAATAGGATAGCAAAAATATATTGAGTTGTTCATTGATTAGCTGTAAAAAGCTTCTGAATCTCAATCGACTATTGTAACCAACAGTGGTTTCAGCGTATTGAATACTATTCGATATTGAACTTTTTATAGTCTTTCCTCTGTCTTATTAGACTAATTTTTGGCTATTTTTCAATAATTATTGTCTCGATTCAAGACTAAAGGTCAAGCTCGCGGTAAAGCACATTGTTTTATTTCAAGAGAGAAAATTAGTGAAAAAAAAGATGTGTTAGAAAAGTTCAAAATTTATTTAAAGAGAAGGGAATAAATCTCTCATATTTGATAATGTGCAGCATGAATCTTCCATAGTATATTATTGAACAGAACCAGTTGACACTCACAAAAAAGCAGCATATGATAACTACTGAAATCAGTCATACAAATTATTATTGGACTTTATGTTGAAAATATAGCACGATCAAAATTAGCACATACTTTATCAAGTTGAATCATAGTATGAGTTTACGAAAATCTACGATTGAATCAAACTGATTTTTTTGGCTATAAAATAGTGTACTTAGAGGATTTTTAGGTTATCGTATTTATATGATTTATAGTCGAAAGTATTGAGTCAATAGTATATTGGGTTGGTTGACAAGTGAAATTCATTTTATTTTTTAGGTATAACAGAATGAGCTTTTCAATTTATTAACGAAAATAATGAGATTGATTTCTACTTAATCTTCTTTTGAAAGTCGAAGTGCTAGATGATGCTTCAATATCATATATTTAACATGCAACGAAATAGTGTTTCTATCGAACGGTAGTCTGGGCTGTACTTGAAAAGATATGAATTTTGGTTAGAAATAGTATATGTTGCATAGCATTTCCAATAAAATCTCACGGTCAGTTAGTCTTGTCTATATAGTATTATAAACTAAAGAACGAATCATTACAAAGAAAAATATACTCAAGCTAATTTATCCGACTTATTGTTTTTCTTCTTCTAAATTATATTAATTTTTCAAAGAATTTAATTGATCTTCTAGAAGAAAAAAAAGATCATTCGAATACTTTTTTGATAACCATGAAGAATTGACTTGTAGTTTAATATTCGAGATCAATAAGTAGCAAATGCTGTATGAGCACTACCAGTAACTGAATTTTCAAAAACACCACTATATGAAGGAAAAAAAATCGACAGAGAAAATCCGTTGTTGTTGAAATACTTGTAATTATAATATCACGTATAAATGGATTTATTATTTGATCTAAATCGATTCCAGTAAGATTTCGTTCTAGTTTTATATTATCATAAATTATTATCAGATGAATCAAAAGATATTTCGTTCGTTTACATACTGTTGAAGAACACCAATAAGAAAATCAAGTTCTAAATAGTCAATATTCGCTCAAAAAGAATATGAACTGTAGCTAATGTTCCATGACCATATAAATCAATGTCAGTTTGTTGGTGTAAATCATTGAAGATAATATCGGTCGTTATAAGTTGAATTTTTTGCTTAAGTAATAAAAACTGTTTCAGATGGATTCAATTCGATAGCAATTTGTTGAAAAAGTGTATTCATATTTTTTCTAGAAGATATATCTTGCAATGAAGTACATACAGCAACCAGAATACCTTTCTACTGTATAAATATCAATTATCTTTTAAAAATCGATAATAACGGTGAAAAAGACAAGACATATAAGTGACTAGTTGTGACCGATACAAGAAAAACCAAAGATCAAGCAAACAGAAAAAAATACAGATAATAGCATCTTAATAAAGATCTTACTGATAAAGAAAATATAAAATAACGTTGAATAGCGACACCTTAATAGTTTTTAATTTTACATGAGATGATTATATTGATGGTTACAAGACGAACCAATGATTGTACGTAGACTTTTTAATATGAAATATAGTCATAATACTAGGATACTAATAAAATTTATAAATGAATTTGATGATGTGTTTAAATTTCACTAACAACATTTCTCATTTCATTATGTGGAATATCTATTTCGAATAAATTCCTAGTCTTGTGATGGAGTTATACTTTATAGTCAATAACGTTCTCTTTTACTGTTATTTTGTGTATTTATAACCTATGGAGTAATGTTTCTTATAGTAGATATATCAAGTAGAAACATGATGCACAGAAATATCTGTTAGCCTTGATAAACATACTGTTTGGCACTTATTTCAGAAAGTAGAGTTTATGTAGTAGAAGTTAATGAATATAACAAAAAAAAAACAAACACTATTCTTTGAATCTCTTCGATTATATCAGAAAAACATAAATGTGTTTCATCTTATTAACGATAAGCATTTTTTTAAATGGAAAGCGACTACTTTTTCTTCTTTATTTTTAATACATTACTTTAAAAAGCTTTGACTTTGTAGACTTTGATGTACATGTAACACATTGCTAGTATGAACACAAGGTATCATGATATTTTGTTTCAGATTTCTATAATAAACACTGATGAGGATATATGCTCTAACTGCAGATATATGCACCAGATTCAATCACATGCCTATGTAAGATACGGATTCATAATTTGATCAGTTCGTATTATAAATTTCTATATGAAGTGAACAACATTTCATTCATTGGTTATCGTGTTCAGTCAAGTTTCTTCGACTATGTAATTCTAAAATATGTGATAACCTGACTTTATCAAGGCACATTGATCAATTTCATTCTGTAATATACAGACACTCATTGTATCCTAGTTTCATAGTTTAGGATGCTAATGATTCACTTCTGAGATATGTGTGAGTTTCATTGGTTTTTGTTTCTAAATAAAGAATTTTTTATACTCTCTATCATTAGACAACTGATAGTTCTGCAAAATCGATATATTAGTGTAACTGAACCTCATATGAAGATAAAGTTTCTTTTATCCATTAACTGGAACTATGTACTTGATACGATGCCGATTAATTAATCGAGATACAGTACTATATATAATGATCTACATTTATATACAGTTTATGTTTCAAAAAAACCTCAAAATGATTTTTATGCTATTCAATGTTATTATACCAAACATATTCAATAACAGTTATATCAATGTAATTACTCATTTAGTTTCAAAACTAAAGTGTTTTGACTATCACATAGATGATTGTTAATATTTTGTTTAAAATAATAAAAAAAAGAAAAGTACAACTCTATTTATTGAACATAAACTCATTTCAAGAAAATAAAATTGCAGATTAAATATAAAATGCTATTCAAAAAATTTTTTAAACATTTATCTTTCATAAAATCTTCTATGCGAACATTT